AATAGTTACGTTTCTATATATATATATATATATATATATATATATATATATATACCATCATATCCAATATATTTGGAAGAAAATATCTCTATATCCCCTATTTTTAAGTTTCATATCTCCATATACCTAAAAATTAAAAATATATCATGGATAGAAATCTTAAGTTACAACCCTCTATAGACACATCCTTTCTCTCTCTTCCCCCAAAACCCCTTCTATCTCTCCGTGCTACCCTCTCTCTCTCTCTCCATATTACCCAAAGTCCATACAAATGGATCTTCAAGAGTCTAGATTGCCGACTTATAATTAGCTTCTGCTATGTGTTCTTCCTTACCTTCGACCACAGAGCTTGTTGAGGCCATGGCAAATGCTGATGCTGCCAACAAGAGAGAGAAACGTATGAAGAAGAGTTGGTGTTGGGCTCCCATTTTGCTAGAGATTGGGATTTCAATTTTTGGTTCCCTTGCTTAGGGTTTGTCTATATTTATAAGATAGAAATTAATGACATTTCAATTTTTGGTTTGTCTATATTTATATATACGTTTAAGAGAGAAATTAATGACAATATCTACACATGATTTTATGTATTGTTTTTTTAGAGAGGGAAATCAAGGTAAGAAATTAATGGAAATGGTGGTAGATTGATTTCCATTAATTTCAATGATCCATTTATCTTTGAAATTAATGACATTATCTATACATGATTTTATGTATTGTGACCAACAAATACCAAAGATAAATGGATCATTGAAAGCAAAAAGTATACTCTTTTGGTGAGACCACTATCAACACATGGTCTCCCACCCAAAACACAGGGTACTTAAGGGGGTTTTAATCTGATTTTTTTTTTAATTAATTTTCTTCCACACTCAATAAAATCTCAATAAAAATTTTAAACAAAATTGACTTTAGACCATCCATTATAGAGACAAATAAATCTGGAGTTTTGAAATGCTTATTTCATTTTAAAAATTGTTCACCAGGTGAATCAAAGTAGATCAAAAAATATTCATATAAAAATAGATTTGGTTTGCTTGAGGTTGCAACCTTAACAAATCAAGATAAGGCGTGCCTCCAAATTTTATCGTAAATATAATTTTGGTGTCAAAATTTTTTAGGATGGCTTGAGAATCTATTTTGATTTCTACTTATAAAATTTTAAACTCCAAAAACAGTTCAAATCAAGTCGATCTATGAACACACGAAATTCTGGAAAATGGACGGTTCAGATAATATGTTACAAGATACAACATTTTTGGGACTTGATATCGGTTTTTCTTTTTATATTCATATGTCTCGATGTTGAGATGATCAATTAGAGGGTTTTCCAACATCAAAACAATATTTTATAATAGATTTTTGCGACCTTATATATTTCCTGAAAAAATATACTCATAGCAATGTGTTCTGCTTGCTAGACCAGGTGCTAGTGTGGTCAAGCTAGGCCACCATAGTGGCCAGCTACTGGAAATTCTCGTAAGTGGAAATATTCGAAAATTCGCCTCTACATATCCCTATTCACCCACTAACAACATTAGCAACCAACGGGGATCATTTAATAAAGGGAAAAAATCACTATTTAATATTTTACCCATATGTTTTGATTCAATTTTGCCCATCAAAATACATGGGATTTTGGGATGGAGTAGTATAAGAGGTAAAATTTTAAGGGAAATTTTCGTATGTGTCATTATTTTTTGGGTGTGGTTTGTATGGAGCCTAAGCTCTAAACAATCAAATTAGAGCCTACCTTTAAATAGTATCGAGAAATGTGGTTTCCAAATTGAATTTTTTTTTGATTGCCTTAAAATATATTTTTATATTTATTTATAAAGTTTAAAGCTTCAAAAGTAGTGTAGATAACCCGATCTATGAAAACTTGAAATCTTGAAAATTGACTGTTCAAAAATGGGTTACAAAATACATTATTTCCAAAACTTGAAATCCATTTTTTTCTCATGTCTATACATCTTGATATCGAGATCATAAATTTGAACATATTTGGGCATCAAAACAACCTCTTTTAGTGAAACTTTTGAGCTAGGCTGATATTTGATTGTTTAGAGCCTCGGCTCTATATAAACTTTTTCCATATTTTTTACCATTATTACGATCTGGTCTCAAAGTATGCAATATTCATGCAAAGGTTCTCGCTCCCCCTTTTTTTTTCTTTTTTTTTTTATCAAGTTTACCCCCGGTCCTATGTTTTAAACATCGGACTGTATATTAAATGTATTTTGTTTTTATTTTTTGACATTCATAAGTTAGTTTGATATTAAAAACGTTGGAACCGCGATCGCCCTACACATTTTAGTTGGTTCGATGTTAGTAAATGGTTGAACTGCGACCGCCCAACAATTTTTAGTCGATTTGATGTTAAAAACATCTTCCACCTTAAACCAATTAACATCTGACCGCATTAATTGGTGAAAACTTAGCTGGTGCATGTTAAGGGAGCCATGTTACCTAATACTAATACATTTACAATCTCAATTGGTCTTAATTGGTGCATGTTAAGAGAACCATGTTTCTAGTACTAATGCATGTACATCAATGAGACCCATACCATGGTATTGAAAAAGCGGTCCCATGTTTCTAACATTAGACTGTATTTAGACCTTATTTTTTGAAGGTCTAAGGTAGAAAAAAGTGTAGGCCAGTCCGATTTTTGTGGACCGCCGTACAAAATTGGTGTTCGATGTTTTGACGTTGAACTGACCTATAAATATATTAAAGTAAGAAATAATAATTTTAATATGCGATTCAATGTTAAAAATGTTTCAAACATCAGACCGGAGACAAACTTGAAAAAATGAAAAATTGCAGGGACAAGGACCTTTGCATAAATATCACAAATTTTTGGACCATCACGTAATAGCGGTCAAATAAAATGGTACATAATTTCCCCAAATGTTAAATACTTAAAAAGAGACATATCACATAGGCAAGGGCAGAATAAGATGTGCGCTATCTCCAGAGGCAAAGGAGGATAAGCTTGTGCGCTCTTCTTTTGGGATGAGGCCATGTCTGACAAGATAAACTTGTGGAATGAGTTTATGAGGATAGGTTGACAGGATAAGCTTATGTGCCTCTGCTTTTGGGATGAGGCCATGGCTGGCTATGGAGAAGAGGAGGACTGAGAGCCAAGTGGTGCCAGTTTTGGAGGCAGAGGGGGATGACCCACAAAATGTTTGGAGAAATCCATTGTTGCTTCGATATGATCCGCCAGATATTGATAGCTTGGTCATTGTGGTACCCCGTAAATTTTTGGTGGTGGGGAGACAAGCTGGAGATGGCCATCTACCAAGGGATGAGGACAGTCAAATGATAAGTTGGAGATGGCACACATTTTATCCTACCCTTTCCTCATTGATACGGTAGTTATAATGTCGTATAATATGGCTTAGGTTTTACAATATTTAAAGTACTATAATAGTAATTGAAGTTTTTACGATAATACGACTACTTATTTTGGTCATAAAACGTCCAAAATTGAAGAAAAAAGGTGTGGACGGGGTTTATGAAAGTTTGGGGTTTTGTCTAAGTAGACGAAAATTAAGGTATATTTATGATAATTTCCCTTTTTTCTTTATACATTTACATAAAGGAAATTATTTATATAAGGTTGCAATTATTGAAGTAAGGTGCACATAAAAAATCCTTTCGAAGAGAGTGTTTCGATATCAGAGAAACCTCAAATTGATAATCTCAACCCCAAGATGTGTGGATAAGAAAAAGAAAAAGATTTCAAGCCTTAAAAATGATGCTTGTAACAAGTTATTTAGACTATCTATTTTTAGATTTTGAAGGGTTCATAGATATACTCGAATGTGTACCATTTTTTAAATTTTAGATTTGGGAAAAGTTTATAGAGAGCATAGGCTCTAAACAATCAAATTGGAGCCTACCTTAAAACTTCCATTAGAAGAGGTTCTTTTGATGCCCAAATATCATCAAATTGATCATCTCAGCATCAAGATGCATGGATATGAGAAAAAAATGGATTTCAAGTTTTGGAAATTGGAGCCTACCTTAAAACTTCCATTAGAAGAGGTTCTTTTGATGCCCAAATATCATCAAATTGATCATCTCAACATCAAGATGCATGGATATGAGAAAAAAATGGATTTCAAGTTTTGGAAATAGTGCATCTTGTTACGCATTTTTAGACCATTAATTTTCTAGATTTTCAAGTTTTCATATATCTGCTTGATCTATGCTATTTTTGAAATTTTAAATTTTATAACTAAAGACGAAAATATAATTTAAGGCTATCACAAAACTTTTTAGTATTAAAACCATATTTCTCTACACTATTTAAAGGTGGGCTCTAATTTTAATTGTTTAGAGCCTTGGCTCTATACAAACCGCACCCTTTAGATTTCATAACTAGGGATAAAGATAAATTTTAAAGATGCCATAAGGTTTCTTATATCAGAACTACATCTCCATACAAATTTTAAAGGTGCACCTTACTTCTACTATATAAGGAGTACGACCTCAACCACTAGGTAGGTCCATATCCACTTGACGTAGACCCAGTCCTAGTTCAGGTCTACATTGTACCGATAGGGCCGGGTCCAGGTTACTTGACCGTCTCTGCTTTATATATATATATATATGTATAATAAACTTTCCTATATTCTATTTCGTTAGTAACGTACTTACTATATTGCATTCGGTAGGTAATAAACTTAGGTAAGTAATAAACTTAAAAAAAAATTACTTTCCCCTTTTTATTTTCTTTCTTCTAGAAAAAAAATTAACTTAAATGTAACTTACCATTCAAAGGGACTTTTTTTACAAATCCCTTTAAATGGTAAGTTACATTTAAGTGTTTTAGATGGATATAAAGCATAGAGTAGAAAGGCTTTGATGAATCTAGTTTCAATCTAACACAATAACATTGATATATCTCTCTCTCTCTCTTTGTACATGACCGTTTTGTTTTATTTTGCGAGAATTTCTCTCTCTGTATTATTACAATTTGTGTTGTTTGAATGACTCTTTCCCTCTCTCTAGAATTACGAATTTTTTGTTTTTTTGTTAGAATGGATCTCTCTCTGTGTATCGTTTTATTTTGCGAGAATTGCTCTTTCTGTGTTATTACAAATTGTTTTGTTTGAATTGCTCTCTCTCTCTCCATCGTTTTCTTTTGCGAGAATTGCTGTGTCTGTAGTATTACAATTTGTTTTGGTTGAATTGATCTCTCTGGTCGTGTTAGAAAACATGACCCCGAATGGAACCTAGCCATGGACAAGGTCAGGGTAGTGTGCTCAGACTCGGCTGAGTCACCCGGACTCACCCTATGTGCGAGGCAACTTTTGACCCGAGTCGGTTGTATATCATGCTCGTATTTGTTATTATATAATGGGAAAAGTTTATATAAGGTTGCAACCTTAGAATGTAGAGCTATGGATGCCCCTCA